GGGATGACATCTGTAAATAGTGTTATTTGGTTTCTGACGCAAAGTGATACCTGTGGTGCTGGTTATGTCTTCATTTATTTGCTGGTGAGAGCCACCATATGCAGGCACATGCTGGAGGCTAGGGACTGTGTGCTAGATGGACAGACCCTGCCCTTGTAACAGAGTGGCTGGCCACTTAGGATCTGCCCTGCTCTGGGGCAGCTGAAGGGAACTCTCCTCTGTAGCTGGGTGACTAGGGTCATCTCTGCTCCCAGGTTCCTTTGGGAATGGGGTGGGAGAGAAAGAGCCCCATTCAGGGGCCTTTGAAGCACTCCTAGAGGTCTCTGGGTGGCACAAACTCTTTGCATTCAACTGCTAATTGAAGAGCTGGTGGTTCTAACCCACCTAGTGGTGCAGGGAAAGAAAGTCCTGGCAGTTGGCTTCCATAAAGATTATGGCTCTTGGAGCAGTTTACTCTGTGACACATGGACTACCCACGAGTCAGAGTCGACTCACCAGCAACGGGTTTGGATGCATCTCCTAAGCATGTGCAGGCACAGAAAACATGACACTGGGAACTCCAGGAGCTCACCGCATCAGTGGGGACAGCCGGGCATTGAGGGAAGACCTGGACTGGCAGTGTAATCTCCGGCCTGAGTCCCAGCTCTGAGGCTCCCTGACAGAAGAGGCTGCCTTTGCCTGTGGGCCTCCAGGCACCTGGTGGACCACACGTACCCCCTCCTGGTGGACCACACGTACCCCCTCCTGGTGGACCACACGTACCCCCTCCTGGTGGACCACACGTACCCCCTCCTGGTCTTTTGATGGTCCTACGAGGTAGGCGTCATCATCCCGATCTGAAGATGGGAAAACATTGTGACACAGGTTAAGTGACACGCCTAAGGCCTCAGAGCCAGAATTCAAACTCAAGTTCCCAAACTAGGTGACCTTGGACAAGCTATTTCACTGAGGATCTGCCAAGTGGCCACAGTAATATTGTCTGATCCCATCTATGTGAAATATCAAGATTAGACAACTGCATGGAGATAGAAAGTAGGTTAGTGATTACCAGGGGCTGGAGGAAGCAGTGGGGGACATTGTAGACTGGGCATGAAGTTTCTGTTTGGGTGGTGGAAACTTGTGAAATAAATGGTGAGGATGGTTACACAACAAGGTGGAATTATACGCTGAAAAATGGTTAACAGGGCCGATTTTAATGTTTAGATATTTTACCACAATTAAAAGAAAAAAACAAAACTTGCATGCAAATTTCAAGGGACCTCTGGTTGCGTAGTGCCTAAGGCACTGGACTGCTAACCAGAAGGCTGGTGGTTCAAACCCACCAGCCACTCCTTGGAGGGAACATTGGGCAATCTACTTCTATAGTGATACTGCCTCGGAAACCCAAGGAGGGGTCGCTATGAGTCGGGTCTGACTCGATGGCACAGAACAACAACAACATGCAAATTTCAGAGCAGCTTTATCCCTAAGGACCAAAAATAAGACACACGCTGAATGTAAAGCAGCAGGGACAAGGGGAATGGGCGTAACACTCCATCCTGCCTCTTGCTTGTGCCCAGGTTGGGAGATGGGGCAGAAGCCCCTTGTGAGCGGCCACCCTGTCTGCCTGGGAGGAGGCCACTGGCTTCAGCCTCGGGGAAGCAGAAAGGGAACCAGAGGAAGTGTTTCTCCTCGTATGGGTTGAGCCAGTGACAGACTTCGGGGCCGCCAGGCAGCGCAACCGGAGACCCAGACCATTCAAGTTGCCTCACTGGCTGCAGCCACCTTCTTACAGGGCCTCCATATGCAAAAGAAAAGAAAGCTTGGCTTTCCAATGTGGTGATTCAGGGGGCAATAGAAGAGAAAAGGTCCCTTTGTCAGCCTCACAGAGGTGAGAGGCCAATTAATAATTATAGCAACAGGGCAGCATCCACGTTGTGCTCACCATGCATTGGGTGCTGTTCTAAGTTACCCCTCCTTAGGTGCTTACTGCATACCTGTCCCTTTGTAAGGGTCCTACATGAACTGGCTCACTTAATCCTTACGAGTTATTCGTTATTGTTCCCACTTTACAGATGAGGAAACTGAGGGTCAGAGAAGTTAAAAAAGGGAAAGAAAGGCTCTCGCTCCAGACTGTGCTGAGTTGGTGGGCAGGGGTGCTTTCAAAGTTAGGCAGCTTGATGCCAAGGCTCATAGGCAGCCCCTTCTTTCCCATCTGTTGGCATATTCCCCCCAACTCCATGTTTAACTGCATTTGACGATGTTGTCTGAGGTTCAAAGCTGAGCCCCCACTAAGTGAAGCTGAGGCTAAACTTCCTTGAATCTCTCCCCATGGTACCCCTCACCATCCCCCTCTGCAATAGGCCCTGGTTCACGTTCCTGGGCCTGGGCAGGACGGCTGTTCATTTAACGGAAACATTTTGCTTGGAAGGAAAGAGCACCAGACTGAGAGTCTTGTGCTGAGGGATTCGGTGCAAGCTCAGCCACCAATAAGCTTTGGGGTCTGGTACCATTCATGTCTGCGTTCAGGGCCCCAGTCTTCTCATCTGTGAAAGGCAGGATGTTGGGTCTGATGAACTTGAGCGTTGCACATCCGATGCTTCGTGAGAAAACCAAGAGTCTTGGTAACTTGCCCAAGGTCACACACCCTATTCATGGAAGATCCAGGGTCTGTTGTCAGCTGTCGCCACCAGATCTCACTGGCCGGGAAAAGAGGTAGCTAGGGTTGTCATGACTCAGAATGGACTCAATGGCCAGGATGCTAACAATAACAGCTTTGGTATAGACTCTGAGTAAACACAGTAGGTTGAATAGGTGTTTTCTCACCATTCTGGAGAGAGGTAGAGTGCTTGCCTGTCTCCCAGACCAAAGTGTTGGGAGAGGTGGCGTCCTCTTCCCCACTTCTAGCCTTGGCCCCACTCCAAGGAAAGGGCGGTGGCCCCATCTTTTAGTTCTGCTTCCTCCAGTCATGGCTGGCTGCGCCTGTGCTGAAAACCAGCTGTTTGGGGCTATGTTTGGCAGCCCTGGCCAGGGCCCCATGCAGCACTGGAAAGTTCTTTCTCAGTGATATCTGGGTCTGTGTCAAGACCCTCTGTAGGTGGTGAAAGTGGTCAGTGAGTGAAAGGCAAAGGAGCAGCTGGAAAGGGGTGGGGACTCATGTGATGGGCTTCCACACCCCTGCCCTCCCTCTGCCCTTGGCCACTTCAACTCCATTCTCTTCTGGGCTTGGGATGGGGCACCAGAAGGCTCTTCACATCCTCTGTCCCTTCAAGACCAGCTCTCCTCTCACTTTCTCCAAGAAGCTTTCTCTGATTCCTTTTGCCATTTATCTGTGGTGGGTGACATGGTGGTCTCCAAAACATTCACATGAACCTCTGGGACTGATGTGTGACCTTCTTTGGAAAGAGTCTGTGCAGATGTAATGAAGTTAAAGCCTTGAGGTGAAGTTGTCATGGACCCTATGGGTGGACCTTAGTCTGATGACAAGGGTTTTTATAAGAGACAGAGGGATATTTGAGACCCAAAGAAGAGAAGGTGATGTTGCCACAGAGGCAGCGACTGGAGTGACGTGGCCCCAAGCCATGGAATGCCAAGGACACATAAGGAGCTGGGACAGGCACGGAAGGCTTCTCCCCTAGAGCCTCTGGAGGGAGGGCAGCTCTGTCAACACCTGGATCGTCTGGATCCCAGACTTCTGGCCTCCAGGCCTGTGTGGGAATGGACGTTTGTTGTTTCAAGCCACTCAACGTACAGTGCTTTGTTACAGCTACTCTGAGGGACTGACACACCATGGATCAGTCTGCTTGACCCAGGGAACAGAAAAGAGCATTGGAGTCTCACAGGTGAGGCCTCAAAGCTCCCTGACACCATCTGCATGGTATTTGGCTACTTTGTGGTTTTGGATTTGTTTGTTTTATAAAAGCTTTAGATAAAGCTCACATACCATAAAACTCACCCACTCCAGTTCAGTGATTTTCAGCTTATTTACAGAGTTGTGCAACTTCTACCAGCAGTCATGCCCTACTGACCCTTCCAACTCCTTGTCCCAGCCCTAGGCAAACAAACCCTGATTACTTTCTGTCTTTTTAGGTTTGACTGTTACACACGTTGTTTAGAAATGGAGTCATACAACGTGTGGGCCTTTGTGTCTGGCTTCTCTCACTAAGCGTGCTTCCAAAGCAGCAAGTGTTAGTGCTTTACTCTTTTTTATGGCTGAATAATATTTCATTGTGTAGATGGAGCACATGTTATTTGTTTATCCATCCACTGATGGACATTGGAGTTCTTTCCACCTTTTGATGGTTGTGCATAATGCTTCTCTGAACATTTGTATACAAGTTTTTGTGAGAACATATCAGGTCGTTTTGAACATTAAATGAGGTAGCAGCTAAAGTGTCTGATATGCCATTCATCAGCGATAACGAGGATCTTAGAATCTTCACTACTCATTCACGTAGCATATTGGGAAACTGAGGCACAGTGAGAGGGGGCAGAGCCTTGCTTGGTCACCCAAGGCAGTAGAACATAACAGTTAAATGCAGATCTTTCAGACAGACTGTCCAGATTCAAATTCTGGTTCCAGTCGGACCTGGGTTACCTTATGTAGGTCACCTCACCTCTTTGAACCTCAGTCTTGTCTGTAAAATGAGCATAGTGATAGTACCCACCTTTCATGATGTTTTTGTGAGGATTAAAGGTATCAGCCCATGTGACTGACATACAGTAGGTGCTTTCTAAACCTTAGCTGTTTTATGGCAGAGTCAGATGTGGAACCCAGGCCTCCTGACTCCCTGACCTCTTTGTCTGTGTCATGGACATCCTCCCACGGTGACTGTAAGTCTCTTGGAGGAGAGAAGTGAGGCTCCCTCTCCCCGCTGCCCCAAGCATCTACAAGCGGAGTGAGCACTTTTGTGTCCTTTCTTTGTTCTCACACTGGCTCTCACCTAGCCCAGCTGGGAACCATTGTAGGTGTACTTATGTGCAAGTTCCCAACACTCCTGAGATGGCTAAGCATGCTTTCCCTTCCAGGCAGCGGGCAGTGTATGGCCATGGAGCTGGGAGCCCCTGAAGGCAGCTACCTGGAGCTCCTCAACAGCCACCTTGACCCCTTGCAGCTCTACCACCTCTATGACCAGATGGATCTGGCTGGAGAAGAAGAGATTGAGCTCTGCTCAGGTGAGCCCCCTCCCGTAGGCCCCTCTTGGTTTCCTGCCCACCCCTCCGCAGCCGTGGAGACAGCCGGCTTCAGCGGGAGGATGGAGCTCCGTCAGCACCACGGACAGCTCCCAACTGCACACTGCTCCTTCCCGCACCTTCCAGTCGCTGCCCCGTCTCTCCCAGATTCTTCCTGCTTCATCCAAGGGCTTTTTCTTCCCAGAGCCTGACACGGACACCATCAACTGCGACCAGTTCAGCAGGCTGTTAAGGGAGATGGAAGGAGACGAAGAGACCAGGGAGGCATATGCCAATATCGGTGAGGAAGCGTCCGAGCCGAGGAAGGGCAGTTGAAGGAAGGAGGTTCTTTTCTGTGTCGTTACTCTCTGTTTGCCTTGAGCCAAAGCAAGCCCCTCCCTCAGAAATCAGGGCTAGGGGGATGGTGAGCAACAGCTGGAGGAGTGGGCACTCCAGGAAGGAAGGGGGGTGGAGCACAAGCCCTCGCCACACCCACCGTGGTGGAGTCGCTGCTGATGCACAGCGCCCCTGGAGGACAGAGTAGAATTGCCCCGTGGGGTTTCCAAGGCAGCCAACATCGACAGAGGCAGGCTGCCACATCTTTCTCCCGTGCAGCGGCTGGTGGGTTGAGCCACCAACTTTCGGTTAGCTGCTGAGTGCTGAACCACTGTGCCACCAGGGCTCCTTAAATTAAGCATAGTGAGGGAGATAGGCCCCTTCACTAGTGGCCCTGGGCAAACAAAATTTGACTTTAATAAATAGCTTTTGGCTATTTTTGTACCCTTGTCAGATTCTTGTTCTTCTTTCCTTCCTTCCCACAAATCCCAAATCATACACCCCTGTCTTTTTCCCTGCTTCCTAAGCCAAAATACTGTAGTATTTGTAATAGCTACCATTTATTGGGTATTTAAAAAAAAAAAAAATACTTCACTGCCATCAAGTCAATTCTGACCCACAGCGACCCTTATTGGGGTTCTAAAGCTGTAAATCTTTACAAAAGCAGACTTCTCCATCTGTCTTCCATGGAACAGCTGGTGTGTTCGAACCATCAACCTTTTGGTTAGCAGCCAAATGCCTTAACCACTACACCACCAGAGCTCCTTGTCAAATCAACTCCAACTCATGGCTACCCTGTGGTTCTAACTCCAAACCAAACCCTGTGCCATTGTGTTGGTTCCAACTCACTAGGGCCCTGTAAGACAGAGTAGAACGGCCCCACCCAGTTTCCAAGATTGCAAATCTTTATGGATGCAGACTGCTATATCTTTCTCCCATGGAGTGGCTGGGGGGTTCAAACCAACAAGCTTTTGGTTCACAGCTGAGTGCCTTAACCACTGTGCCACCATGGATCCTCCACCTCTGGTTAGTGTACAAATTGCTATCCATGCATTATCTCATTGAATCTTTACAACAACAAAGATTGTAAAGCAGTATTCCCATTTTACAGTTGAAGAGATTAAGTAAGGTTCAGACCTACCCAAGTCTGCATTAGAGATAATAAGCAGCTTACATCTTTCTCACCTCAAATCTCCTGTTTTTGACCACAAAAAAAGAAAGTATTTGAGCAGTGGGAAGGTTTGCTAAGCCTTAAGCTGATCGGCTGGTTTTCAGTTTTAAAACAGAGCTACAGTTTTCAGATAAGGGAGTTTTCTGACAAGGGCAGAACTCTTTGGGGAGAGGTGATTTTTTTGAGGGGGAGGGTTTTATCCCTACCTCGTACAGAGCCATTGTTGAGTTGAAAAAAAGTACCCTTCCTCAGAGACGGTGGGTACAGCCCCCACCAGGATGTACAGCTTGGCCAGCAAAGTGCAGGCTGGATGTTTGCCTCCTTGGCTATTGTGCAGTGAACAACCCATACAACAGTTCTTAGAGGCCCTTCCCTGAAAGCCAGGAGCCATGTCCCTCAGAGGCCCATGCTCTGTGCGAAACGATCAGTCTGTCCCCAGCCGACATCTCTTCCAGCATCACACAAGGGCCGCGAAGGGAGGACAGAAGTTACCATGTGTGTCGCAGAAATTGTGGAACCAAGAGCCAGGCTGCTTCCTTCCCTTATGGGAACTGACTGGGGGAAGCAGAAGTGTTTGGGACCTAAGGCATTCATGGTTCCTTGCAACTGGAGGTAGTGATTAAGGATTTGGGCATTGCTTAGGATTCAGGGACTTTTATTTTTTCCCCCCTTAGGAGCATCTCTACAGGAAATTGTTGTTATGTGCCATCAACTCGGACCTGACTTGTAGCGACCCCTCCTTGGGTTTCCGAAGTGATATCACTACGGAAGTAGATTGCCCAAATGTCCTTCTGAGGAGTGGCTGGTGGGTTTGAACCTCCAGCCTTCTGGTTAGCAGTTAAGTGCCTCAGGCACTACGCTACCAGGGCTGCTAAGCCAGCAGAGGGAGGCCCTTCACCAAGGTCTGTGCTCCTGCAGGGCCAGGTCCTGGCCTGGGCATGTGATCACCTGAGGCATCCAGTCTGTTTATTACCTTGGCTTCCACAGTGCAAAACAGGGATACTAGTCACACCAGCCCACAGAATGGTTGTGAAGATTGAGTAAGTGACTGTGTATGAAACATTTAAAACAGGAATTTGTGCAGGGTAAGCATTCAGTGAGTGTTAGGTATCGTCATCTCCATCACCGTATGTCATTGCTCCATTCCTCAGCTCAGAAGCCATGCTTGGCTCCCCACTGCCTCTAAGATCAAGTCCTAACTTCCCCTGACATGAAGCTTCTACTGCTGTCTCCTGTCCCTCAGAGCGTCCCAGGCACCCTGAACACGCTTCCCCATTCTGTCCCCACTGCTCTCCACCTCTCACACTCTGCCCCATCTTCCAAGGCCTGCTCCAGGGCCCTTTCCCCTGGGAAGCCCTCCTTGATTGCCCATTTCCCTGTAACTCTCTCCTCTCACCTCTTGCCATGATAACCAGCTTCCCCATAGGCTCCTAGCCATGAACTACTGCTTGGCGTAATTAATCACTGTGGCCTGAGTAAGGAGCCCTGGTGGTGTAACAGTTAAGCACTCGGCTATCAACTGAAAGGTCAATGTTTTGAGCCCACCCAGCTCATGGAGAAAAAACCTGGCAATCTGTTTCCATAAAGATTGTAGCCTGGAAAACCCTATAGGGAAGTTCTACTGTCAGACAGGGTCACTATGAGTTAGAATCGACTCAGTGTCACCTAGCAACAACAATGTATTGAGTACCTACTGTGTTGGATGTCTTTTATTCAGGGCCTCTAATCATCACCCAGGAGCTCTGGTAGCGTAGTGGCTAAAGCACTTCACTGCTAACCAGAAGGCTGGCGGTTCAAACCCACCAGCCACTCCTCGGAAGGAAGGTTGGGCAATCCTACTTCCGTAGTGATACTGCCTCGGAAACCCAAGGAGGGGTCGCTATGAGTCAGGGCTGACTCGACGGCACATAACAACAACAACAATCATCACCCATCCCTGGGTTGTTGTTGTTGTTGTTGTTGTTGTTGTTATGTGCCGTCGAGTCAGACCTGACCCATAGCGACCCCTCCTTGGGTTTCCAGGGCAGTATCACTACGGAAGTAGATTGCCCCATCTTCCTTCTGGGGAGTGGCTGGTGGGTTTGAACCGCCGGCCTTCTGGTTAGCAGTCAAGTGCCTTAGCCACTACGCTACCAGAGCTACTGTACAGTGATTGGTAACTTCTCATGGGTGCAACCCTATCCCTTCAGTTAGATTAAGAGTCCATGAAGAGTCAACGTCCATTCGTGACTTAATCATCTGTTCATTCAGTAAGCACTGTGTGTCTGGCCTCGAGGGCCCAGCCCCCTGGGACCTCGTCCAAGGCTGGCACAAGGCAGGACTTCAGTAAGCCCTCCCTGACTGGCTGTGCTTTGCCTTGTCTGGACAGCGGAACTGGACCAGTACGTGTTCCAGGACTCCCAGCTGGAGGGCCCAAGCAAAGATATTTTCAGTAAGTTTGGGTTTTCTTGGCTCAGCCTGCATTTTCTTCTTTCTTCCTTGGGAAGTTCCATAACACTAATGGTCACCCCTCCATGGGCGATCAGACTCTTTCTGCCCACCTTGACCTCCACTGATGGTGTTGGTCTTTCTGGTTTTTCTCCAAAGTAGAGCACATGGGATCAGAAGAAGTGGTCAGTGAGAACGTGGAGGCACCACTGGAAACAGGGCAGAAAAGTCAGAAAAGACGTGAGTGAGCAGCTGCTAAGGGCAGAGGCAGCCCACTGCCTGCCCCCCATCCAACCTCTGCCCTGCTTGGGACTGGCCCTTCCTTGGCCCCAAAGTCTGCTGTGGCTCCCAGTTGCTTCCCGCGTCAAGTCTCGTTGGCTTCGCCTGGGTTTGGGTGCTCCTGCTGCCCCTCCTCCTATTGTTGCACCTGTGTGCAGTGAACATTTCCAGGAAGGAAACATTTGCCCAGGTACAAATGGGCTTTCTCCAGGGGGGTTTCCGTCCCTCGCTCTTTAGGCTGCCATTTCCTACAGGACCTCTGGCTTCTGGCTTCTCTTTCATTCTTGGTCATCACCCCTGTATTTGAGGGTGTTCTCATTTATGCCCTGTGTGGCCTGAGGCAAGTCCCTGCACCTCTCTGAGCCCCTACCCAGCCTCCTTTGCCTCCTTAGTCTGTCATCACCTGGCAGCCAACGTGAGCTTTCAAAATGCAAATGAGGTCATTTCACTGTCCTGCAAAGCACATCCCTGCAGGACCTGGCCCTGCCCCATCTCCACACTCGCCATGTGTTTCCCCTGTGCACTCAGCACTCTTCAGGCACGTTAGCTTCTGTCCGTTCCTGCGGTCTCCCTGCCCTTTCCAGCCTCAGGGCCTTTGCTTGTACTGCTTGGAATGCCCTTCCCCCAGACCATCCTGTGCCTGGCTTCTCATCTTTTAGGCCTTGGCTCCAGCGTCACCTCCTCCAACAGGAGGAAGCCTTCCCTGACCACCCTTTCCACATACATGACCTGACTCATCTCACCTTGTCCATGCCTTTCCTAGCACCTTACCTCAGCTCTTGTCACAACCTGGACATCATTCCTTGCCTCTTTACATAGTTCCCCTGCTGCCAGGACAGAGCCCTTGTCATTCTGACTCATCACTATATCCCCAGCTCCTAGCACCATGCCCAGCTTTCAGTAACGCCTCCATCAATAGCTGTTCAATGAAACATTTGTAAAATGTTAACTGAGTGCTTGCTGAATGCTGGACCTTATGTAAGTCCTGGACTTATTTATTTACTTATTTCTGAACAGGTAATACAGGTGCATGGCATACAAAAACCTAAAGGTGCAAATAATCTTTGGTGACAAACCTTCCTTTCACCCAGTCCTCACTTCCCTCCCTGGAGACAGTATTCCCAGTTCCCTCTGTCCCTTGTCAGATGCAGCCTCATCATCCACGAGCCAGGTCTTTTGTCCCCTCACAGATGGCCACATCTGCAAACATTCCTCTGTACCCTGCTTCCTTCATGTAGCCTGCGAAGCCGTTCCCTTGTCACACGTGGGGGATACAGGCCCAGAGGCTTCCTCTTCCTTCTTTGATGAGTATCTTCCCCAACATTTCATTGTGAAAATTTTCCAACATACAGAAGAGGTCGAAGAATTGGGGCTGTGAACACCTGTATACTCACCACTAGATCCTACAACTAATGTCTGGCTCCATTTGCACAACCATGTATCTGTTCATCTGCCCATCCTTCTATCCATCTGTCCATCCATCCACTCAGCCACTCACCTTATTTTTGGTACATTTCATGCAGATTGCAGGCACCATCCACTTCCCCATAGACACTCAGCATCTTTGCTGTGTGTTAGGCCTGTGTGGTATCTGGTAATTCTTTGAGTAAACAAACCCTCATTTACTTAACCATCCCCTCGCTCAAGAACTTGGGTTGCTTCCTGTTGATGTGCTAAGTGCCTGGTACTGACTTCTTGATTCGCAGTGTATTGCTGTGAATACATTTCACAGATAAGGGAACGTCACAGTCTATGCTCAGGTGCTAGGTTGCAAAGGTGCACAGCTGGAAAGGGATTCAAAAGCAGATTGTGCTTTTAAACACTCTCACCATGTCACGTCCCCTTCATGGTTCTGCCTCTTTTGCGTGCTTTTTGTTCCGGGTTCAAGCAGACAAGCAGGGGGTGGAGAGGGTCAGAGGAAGGGAGGGAATGAGAGCCCCCTAAGGCTACACTCCAGCCCTTTTAGTTAAGGCCATGCAGCCTGCTGGGGTCCATGGGCTTCTGGAGTCTTGGACCACTGCCCCAGGGACACTGACCACAGCCTTCTCTCTGCAGCTTTCCCAGAGGGGCTGCCTGCGGACCTGAAACACAGGAAGTTAGGTGAGCAGGATGGGGTGACCCAGGGAGAGTCTAAGCCAGGAAAGCTGGGGCCTCCTCAGACACATACCAACTAGCTCAGAGAGGTGGAGTCATTTACCCAAAGTCACACAGCTAGTGAGAGGTGGGACTGTGATTTGAACCCAGATCTTCGGGATTCTGTGGGCAATGCTCCTGGGAGAGCCAGCTCTAAGGCCCCTTTTCCTAACGTGGAGTGAGCTGAGACACCCCTGCTAATGTGGAGTGAGCTGAGACACCCTGCCCCATCCCAAGGCCACACTTCTCCTTTCATAGGGCACACTCACCTGGTGTCAGTCGGTGGTCAGCCCCTCCCATCCTCCTCAGAGTCCCCAAGCTGATGGTCACCCCCCCCAGCTGCTTCCTCCCCTCCCCTCCTCCTCCTCAGCTGTTAGTGCAAAGGTGGGGAGCAGACTGAGGAGTGAGGCTCAGAGTCTGATGTAGGAGGCCCAGTCCTTGATGGTGAGGCAGGGTCCCTGCCCATGAAGACCCCAGGTGCTGGAGGAGTGGCCCCTGTGCTCAGGAAGCAGCAGCCTCTGTCTCAGAGGGAGTGTGCCCTACCCTCTCAGGCCTCCATTAGATGGAGGAAATAAGCCCCTGGCCAAGTATGATGGGAACAGAATGTGTCCCCTGCCCTTCTTTCGGGGTAGAGCCTGGGGCCCTGGAGGCGTTCAGCGACTGGCTAGGGAAGGGGGAAGGGCCCGGAACCCACAGCCTGCTCTCAGGCTTGTGGCCCAGCCCCGGCTCCCCGTCTGGCCTCACCCATCTCATGAAGGAGACAGGAGCCCTACTCTCCACGATCCCCCATCTGAGGGGGAGATGGGTGTCATGAGGAATCCAGGGTGCTCTCAAGCCCCATCGCAGGAGAAGGCCGGGTGGCTGTGGCTGCCTGCAGAGCAGCTATGATCAAGCCACTTCAGCTGAGGATTCAGGAGCTTCCCTTCAACCACTAGGGGGCTTCCAGGCCCTCCACACTCAGGGGTCCCCTCCAAGCACTCACCTACATCTCACCCAGCCTCCAACTCAGTCCTTTCCTCCACAGACAAGCCCCCTGCTGAGCCCACGGTGACCAGCAACTTCCTGGTGGGGCTGGGGAATAACTCCACCTGGCCCTGCCCGTTGCCTCTTCTGCTCAACCAGGAGACAGCACCTGGACGGACCAGGCTGGAGGAGACTGTCCTGGTGCCTGGTATGTTAAGGGGCTTAGAGAGGTGGGCTTCCTGTTGGAGGTGCTGAGGAATTGGAGCTGGGACAGGTGCCACACTGCCCATCAGTGGCACACCCATCTCCGTCCCAGCAAGTTTAATCTTCAGGCCCCATCATCTCAGCCACCGCTAGACAGAGCAGGGATTCCCCACCAGCTCGGGATTCCCTGCCAGCTCTGCTCATCCATTAACACTGAGATCAGCTCTGTGCCAGGCACTCTGCCAGGTGTTAGGGACCCACCATGGGCAAGACAGACCCAGCAGCTGCTGTGGGGGAAGTTAGAGCCCCATGGGGGAGTCAGACATGAATCAGATCATCACCAAACAGCAGGAAGCAGATTGCAGGTGCTGCGAAAGCCCAGCTTACAGCCTTTGTCTCTTGCAGTGCCCGCCTCCAGGCCCCTGCTCAGCTGCCTGAGTCTCCCTGATGGATCCATCCAGATCATCCCCACTCTCCCCAGTCTGCCCCAGGGACTCTGTCACATCCCAGGGGCTGGCCCAGGGGTCTCCAGTATACTCATCTACCAGGGTGAGTGTGGGAAGCCTGTCTCCCTACCCCCACTTCCTCCTACTGACCACTCCCTAACTCCACCCACCCCCTCCCCAGGTATTTGGAAGTCCAGGCCCAGCAGCTTCTCATATCCCTCCATGCCCACCACACCCCTCTCTGTTCCCATTTCCCAAAAATCAAGGCAGAGGAGGAGGGCTTCCTGGTGAGCGGTGGTCTGGATGAGTGACCATTAGAGCCGCTTGTTGACCTTCCACGAGCCACCTCCCCCTGGGGCCCTCAGTGTTTCTGTCTCTTTTAAATCTTACTTTATTTTTAAGTTACAAAATCACCAATGCTATTAAGGAGCCAAGCAATAGGAGATGCTTGTGAGAGCTGAGTCTTGGCCTCAGCCCTTGACCGATACCGTGGTGTGCGCATCCTTATTTCCTGGTCTGTAGTGAGATGAATTGGTCCCTGCTGACCTGCTACACTGAGGGATTGTGAACTGTGTGGGGAAAGACTGGTTTGGGCTCTCAGGGTGGGGAGAGAGGATGAGGCCAGAGCTGCAGCCACTCACCTCCAGGAGCAATAGTTGAAGATCATATGCCAGTTACCGTATAATGCACGGGGTCCTGGAGGTGAGGGAGCAGTTCCTGGCTGCAAGGGAAATGCGTGCTGACCACATGGCAGGCGGAATGCTGTCGAAGCAGCTGCCCTAAGCGGCCTATGATCTAGGCACTGCTACTGTGTCCATTTCACAGATGGGAAAATCAGGGCTCTGGGAGCTAGGTATAACTCCAAAGCTATTTCCTTGGCTCTGTCCTGAAATGTCTTCTCTTGGAAGCAAAGCTCAGACTTCCCAAACTCCACAGCCTGGTTTGGGGTGGGCATGACCCATCTGGGTTCCTGGATGGATACCTGGTTGTTTTTAGACTCGTCTTCCTCTTGACGTAGGTGAAATGCCCCAGGCCAGCAAAGTGCCCCCTTCCAGCAGCTTAGCTGTCAGGAGCCTCCCAAAGTCTCCGGACCGGCCTGGCTCCACCAGCCCCTTTGCCCCGTCGGCCACTGACCTACCCAGCATGCCCGAACCAGCCCTGACCTCCCGCACAAACAGGACAGGTAAGAGCAGAGGGCTGTGAGAATTACTGGAAGCAGGATTGAGGACCTGAGGGGAGGAACTGTCTCAGACAAGATCCAGAAACAGAGCTGCCTGCAGGGATGGGCAAACTATGTTTCTGGTGGGGCTTCAAACCAGTTTGAATTAGTTCTGTCATGGCCAACAAAGTAAAACCGGAACAGACCTCAATTTTTAAAATTTGGTTGATCCAGAATGGTAACCAAAGGAAAAATTAACAGGCTGAAGGCCTGGAATGGAAGAGTCAGAAGAGCTGCAGTGAGCCCTTACAGGATCCTGATGCAGGAGACTGTATTGTTGCCAGGACAGTGGAGAGTGACACACATTCAAAGCGGTGCAGTCGGCTGCCATCTTTGAGCAGGGCGCCGTTGTGTTCAATTCAGTCAGGCAAGAGATTTGGTTGCTATGCAATGCACACTCTGTCCTCGCTTTCTAAGATGGAGATGAAGCTTCTAGCAGGACTTCGCGCCATGGTTTTCCCATTCTGGTTAGTGTTCCTGTTCACCCCCATTTAAAAAACTGGGGTCTATTCTGGTGTTGCTCCACAGGAAGACTGAACCAGGCTGAACTGTTTCGAAGTCCTGGTTCCTGGGTAAAACCAGGCAGGGGCTGTCTCCAAGGAGTGGAGGACATGGACGGGGACTGGGAGGAGAGTTGAAGGATCTGTGCCCTGCCCAAGTAGGGTCGCTAGTATCAGCTGCTTGGTGCCCTGCAGGAAGGCAGGCCCAGTATGACCAGATCCAGTTTGTCAGGAGAATCTGGAAATCCAGAGTTTTCCATAGATAATGCTCGTTTGTAAATAAACATCAGTGAAAT